TTTCCCTCCAAATGCTCTGGGGAAGAGGTGCAATGACCTGTAGCCAGCAAAGTTCTTAGTAAGTCTACAGAGAGTCTGCAGTTAGCTCTCCGCCATCTCAGAGGAAACAGAGGCCTTCTCTGCTGTGAGGCTTGAGTGAAGGCAGTGTATTCTTGATTTCAGACCCCCTTTTGTGACTTAAACTCTTGTCTTCTATGAAGCAAACAATGCTTTGCCTCCTTGCCACAGTGACAAAGGATGTTGGCAGTTTAAATGTGTAAAGTTTGGCTCCCGTGAAGGTAGGACAGTGGACAAGTTAGTGTAAGGTGCCCTGTTTTTACAAACTAACTTTTTTCTTTTTTTTTTTAATCTCTTTACTTGGGAACTTGAAGAGGAGACTAAAGTGTTTTTCTGTTGCACAACAGGTTGATAACACCAAGTTTACAATGGAGTGCATAGAGCCTGCCATTCACGTGTATGAGCTTCATGAGAACAAGTGGAGGTGCAAGGACCCACACGTGTAAGTAGACTTCAGTTTATTTGTGTTCGGGTAGTAAGGAAAAACGGGTCGCCTGGATAAGGGCAAAACTTTGATTGTGATGAGTGACGCTGTAAGGGCGGTGGGTGTAGCTGACAGTGCTTTTAAAGCTTTATTTTTCTGCTGTACTGAGAGAGAACAGCCGGCTTCTGCAGCCAGGCAGCGGTATGACCACGTTGCAGAGGTCGTGGCTTAATTTCTAGAGTAGAGGTGGTGGTGGAGATTTTCTTTGTGATTCCTTTTAATTCCTGGTTATTTTACGTCCTAGTGATTTTTGTGAAGATTGGACCGAAGCCCAGAGAATCGCTGCATCTCTCTTGGACAGCAAGTCCTACGAGACGCTTGTAGATTTTGATAATCACCTGGATGATATCCGGAATGACTGGACAAACCCAGAGATCAACAAAGCTGTCCTCCACCTGTGTTAGAGGGGTTTCTACTGACTAATTTACGGGCATTCCCACTATGTACTGAAGAGAGAAAATTGCTATTTTTGAATGGAAATAGAATAATATTCAGTACCTTATGTGGAAACCCGACTGATTAAAAAGGAGTGGCATGTCACATTGCAAAGAGTGATGTATCCATAAGCCATTGAATCTTTTTTTGTGAGATTCCTTGGAAGAACTGCAAACTGTCAGTTACAGCTGTCCTCGTGGACACCTTCCCAGTTGTAGTGAACGTTGCTATTCCTTCGAAACCAGAACTACTTCTGCTTGTCCCTACTGTTCATATTACAAAGTTTTGACTAAGCCTTTCTAATCTTTAGAGAGATTGCTTTTTAATGATTTATGGAAATACCTTTCCAAAAAAAGAAAAAAAAAAAATCAGTCTGGTCCTCAGATGAGAAATTTTAAGGTCAAATACATAAATGTAAGGTTAACGGTTTCTTTTGGCCTGGTTTGGAAATGTCATTCTGTTGGCACAGTAAAATGCGAACTGCTGAGGACAATGTTCCGTGCTCATGTGTCACTTGTTTTGCAGTGGTTTAGCATGACACAGCTACAGAGAACATGTTAAAGCAGTATTCCCAAATGCTACAGTGATTCCTGCTCTCCGTGAGCGTACAACCAGTTATTGCTTGAAAATGTTAAACTCAAGGTAAAAACCAAATATTCACCTAATGATTTGTAAAAGGGACTGGAACTGTGCTAATGAGTTTGAATGAGAGTTCTAAAACAGTTTGAGTCTACAAAAGAAGAGGAGAGTGAAATACCTTCATAATTTTATGCAGTCTTTTGGGGGTTTATAAACAGATCTTGTTTTCAGCTGGTTCATATAGTGTCCATTTAAGTAGGTCTGAAATGTATCCCTCCAAGTTGAAGGCAAGCGATCTGAGTACATCGAATCAAGGAGCCTACGTATAGTCTAGTTCAGCTTCTGTCTTTCTAAATCATGTTTGTTTCTAAGAGTAAGTTTACTGCACAATGAAGCTCTTTATCTCAGACTAGTGCAGTTCTTGTTGCCGTACTCTTCATGGTTGGTTGTCAAACTGTAGTTAAACATAGCCTCAGACTGTAGTTAAACGTGGCCTCAACCTGCAGTGGTTTCTCTAGATTTCCTTCTCTTTCTACCCAAAAATGTCTTTACAAGGAAGATCCAAATGTCCACTAAATGATCGGCCTCTCTCCAAGTTCCTGCTTTTTCCTTAGTGTTCTTATTTTAAAACATGAGGGGTGGGATTGTCAAAACCTCTTGGCCTACCTCTGCTTATATTTAAATAAACACAAGTTTTCTTCTTGGTCTTAGTGAGAGACAGGATAAGGCTAAAATCCCATTACGAAGTAGGGGATAGAACCAGGACGCTTCCAGTCAGGCCCTGCTGTGGAGTTCCCTGCAGTTCGGATTCCACAAAGCCATGAGGCAAGGTCTGAGGTTCAGCTCCCTGTCCGAGGAGGAGATGACGATTTGAACGGTTCGGTTTGTGTCCCCCCCACCCCGCTATGCAGTAGTAAGGTGCGATGGGTGTTAACAAAAGGGATTGGCACTTAGTCAATAGCCTTTCCTTAGCATGAGTCAAATACGCTTGCAGGAAAGGAAAATGTTTTTACTTGTTCAATGAAAACATGTATCTAGCTCACAAGCAGCAAGATAAACGTGTTCCAGTGGCTGTTTTACTACACATCCACGGCTGTATGAAAAGATATCCTGGAAACGGCAATGCTTTGGCAACGTATGTTCGGAGTAGACTCTGCAAATCGCACACGCTGCAGGAAGAGGACTGTTTTCTCGCTTGTACAAACACCTCTGTACAAACACCTCGTGAAATCTAACCTATTGTTCCAGAGGCAGATGTTATCTTAGCAAGACGCGCTACATTAATTATGTGAGATTGTCAGCCGGTGCTGCCGTATAAGCTGGTATGTCTCCTGAGCCACAGGAAATGTATTTCTTATTCTTTGTGACTAGATGTCATAATCAAGCTTTGATCATATACGTGCTAATACAGTCTAATCTCTCCCTGCTCATACTCTCGCCCTCGGAAGACAAAGCAAAATGTATCTCATCGGTCCGTAACCTGATGGAAACGCTCCCTGTGACTAACCGATGAGACACATTGCTGGAAGGGGAGCAGCTATTAATGCTTTGTCTTTCCTTTTTTGCTAATCTTCTATTTGCTTTTAAATGAGGTCCTTTGAGTGTTTTGCCATCAGGAGAAGCCCAGGCTGGCTTTCAGCAAAAAGGACAAGCACTGTGGTGCTCAGATCTTATCTCACCTGTCCTATTTGCATTGAAGGCTGGACAAAAGGCAGCAATTTCATAAAGGCAAGGCAGCCCCGCAGCCAAGGTGGCTCTTGTGAAAGAATGAGGAAGCTGCCGGGCTCAGCGAAGGCTGTGTTGCCCTTTCCT